TCCTGTCCATTCATCAAAGATCGAAAAAAATGAACTTGTGCTTTCGAAATGTAGGAAACAATCCATGTTGTTCATTCATTTCCAGTGTTTTTTTCACTTATTCTACCGTCAAAATGGTCGAGGTACCTAATTCATTCATTGCTTTGCTCAATCGTATCATTCAATTGGCTATTTGCACTTATATCGCTCTGTGAGTATGTCATTTATTGAGAACCTATCCTATTCGGATGCAATTAATTTGCAGTTACATTGTGTGGTATGAACGAGGATATCAGGAATTTCAAGAGCCACGTGGAACGAGTGTTATCAAAGTGAAAGGTGTTACATTAGTCCATGTGAAGATTCCATCCTCTTTGGCAGGTAGGATTTCTTATTGAACTCTTTGATCGTACTCAAATGATACTTGGTCTACTTGCATTTCAGTCAATTATCCACCCATTGTTTGGGACACGGCTGATTATGGCATTCCACCCCTGGTATGTATACGTGCTTAACGGATATTCAATAATCTTAGCTATTTGTTCACTAGGAAAATAATGCTTTTTTCATTGCAACTCGTCAAATTGTTACTTACGATCAAACCGAGGGCCGCTGTCCGAGTGTAAGGAGTTGATCAACTAGTATCATTGCTGGCAGATTTTTGTTGATACTTAAATTAGGCCTTGAAATCTAAGCTTTATTGCCGTGAGACCAGTAATCGCTGTCGAGCTGGAAAGGCGACACCAAGTACATTTGGTAAATACTTTTCGACTAATGAGACGACGAAATTTTCACCGAACGTTTCCTAGGCTTTTTAACGGGCAATTGTGTGCCAAGTCGAGAGAATACGTCGATCAATGTATGTGAAATCAACGGCTGGTGTCCCGAAGAACTGAGTGCATCCGAGTAATGTTCTCTTTTTCAATTTGGAAATGCCTACTGTACCTTTCTCTTTCTTTCATAGAGATTATCAAATCGGTATCGATGACTTGAACAATTTCACCATTTTTTTAAAGACATCAGTAACATTTCAACGATTCAACATACATCTGTTCGTTTTGACGTCGATCAACAAGTATCAGTTGTATTATATCTAATTTGTTCTTTTCATTGACAGGCGAAATCTTCGAGATGATACAAATTTTTCGTGTCGATATCACAGCATTCGAGATTCACGTTGTCCTATCTTTCGTCTTGGTGACATCCTAGACAAATTTCAGACAAACATCCTAGCTCTTCTCAGTGAAGTAAATACGATAAGCACAGATCGTTCAATATAGCTCTTTTAGGGTGGTGTGATTGAAATCGAGCAGAAATGGACATGCAATTTTGACTACGACAAACGTTTGTGCTATCCAAAATACGATTTTCATCTCCTGCAAAGTAGCGACGACAAACAATCGCCAGGCATCAATTATCGGTAAACGTCATTAGTTCAAAAATGAGTTTTCCTTTGATGTTCTAGGTATTAAAAACATATCTAGTGCAGCACATAAATATCGTTTGAACAATACTACCTATCGAATTCTATCGAAAATTCACGGTCTTCGTTTTGTTATATCGATCTCCGGCACCGGAGGACGATTCAATCCACTTCAGTTGTTTCTCGCCATCGGTAGGATCACATGAATAGTAGTCATTGATGATGATCGATTGTTTTTTACTTGAAGGTTCTGGCATCGGCTATATGGTCATCGCAGGACTTGTGTGTGATTTCATCATGATGCATGTACACAAATATCGTGATAAATATCGAGCAGGCATAGTCAGTCTGGTTGATGACACTGGCCTCCAGTGAACTGCAGTACTTCAATGACAATACATACAGTTGCTTATTTTTATCGGAACGCTTCTTTCTGCACATTTCTCTAGTTAGAAAAGCTTTCAAACTCTTTCGTCGTATCTAAAAAAGAATTGTTCTTCTCAATCGCTATTATGTTTGGAATGGTCGTGATAGAGCAAATCTTGATGCTTGAAGAATCATTCATAGACAGAAGTAGCTGTTTTTCAAATATCCTGACAGTGTAGGTGTATGTGGATATCGTTCTTTACTTTAGCCACATTCGTCCTTGAAGGGGTTCAGATTTCAGTCGTTGTAATTAAACAAATG